AGCGAGCTCCCTGGCAACTGGCAAGCCAGGACATTCTACTCTGACATCCCTGGCTGCGTGTGCTGAGTTGTCAGCATAACCCCCAGGGTTGCAAAATTGTAGGCATAAAAAGGGAGCCCATGGTTAGGAGATTGATGCCATCTGCGACTGTAACTTAGCAATGTCTCCAGCGCTTCAAGGTCTCTCTACTTCAATGAAATCTTGGTAGTCTGCACCTGCAATGGCTTCACTCTGCTTCACACATGGAAAGAGCCAGCTCCTAGACTTCTTCTTCGCCACCCCCCACCCCTGATCATGAGGGCTAAGATCTCAGGGTTTGAAGTCAACCTTGTCACATTTGGTCATTGCCCAACTGGTGAGATATCTCGTTAGCTGTCTCCCAGGATAAATGATACTCTTTGGTGCAAGATAGTAAAACTTGAGGCTGCCACATTTTTATAATCCAAGGTTTCCTGAATAGGGGCCAGGCCGCAAGGAACAACATTAAGCGGAAATAGAGTGCTTTCAAAAACGTTTGGAGATTAACTTTTTTTATAATGGTAATGTAAGAAAAATCAAATTTGTTCAGAGAAATGAGAGAATCAATTTACTTCCTGAGCTCAAAGTCCCTTAAAACCCATTGCCAACAAGCCAGTTTGATTCACAGTGGCCCCAATAGGACAGAGCAGAACTGCCCCGTAGGGCTTCCAAGGCTGTCACCTTTCCAGCAGCACACTGCCACATCCCCCCACCACCACCACCACCCGGCAGAGCGGCTGGTGAGTTTGAACCTCTGACCTTCCACCTAGCAGCTGAGTATGTGAGCACTGCTCTGCCAGTACTCCTTGAGCACATATGAGACACACGAATAAAGTCAGACTCACAGAGCGCCTCCTCCTGAAACATGGCTGGATTTCTTATATTAAAACTAATAGGAAAAATGTAAAGATAAATAAATAAATAAAAACAAGAACCCCAAACTAAAAATCAAGACAGTTGAAGTAAACATTGAAAAGAAAGAGAAGGGTCGCAGCGCTTAAAACCCTCCAGAATCCTTACCCACCAGACCTCAACGCTGGTCAGGGTGGCTGAAGAGGAAGGGCAGTAAAAGTGAAGCTGTCTGGGGTTCTTTTTTGGTAACATACAAGTTAGAGTTTTAGAAAGCATGCATTGGAAAGACCACTGATCTTGGTAACATAAGGAAGAAATCCAATGCTTAACAACATCTGGGGTGGGGTGGGGAGATGCTGCTGCAGATCTGAGGAGCTGGCTCGTGAATTGACAAATCTGACTTCTCTGTACAACACTCCCTTGTCCCCACCTTCAATGTCAACCATCCTGTCCCACTCAGGGCAACTGATCGAGGGGTCTGTGGGAGGGCGGTTGAAGAGGTCAGTGATGCCAACTCTTCATGCTATGAATCTTACTCAGGTCATTCAGGATGCAGACCAGAATCAGGGTTTAAAAGTATACCATGACTTGAAATATTAATAAATGTAAAGGTTCATAAGTCAAAAACCAAATTCACAACTTGGCATAGAAAGCCCTATCTTTTCCCCATGGAGTGGCTGGTGGTTTCGAACTGCTGCCTTTGAAGTTAGCAGCCCAATGCAAAACCACTATGCCACCAGGGCTCCTGCAAGGGTTCATAAAATGACACACACACACCCAGAAATCATAAGGGATTTAGAAATGTTATTTAATGAATGTTTATTAGTTTCCTAATGTGTATCAGAAAGAGCCCTGGTTACGTGTTGGGCTGCTAATCCCAAGTCTGAAGTTTGAAACCATTAGATGCTCTGGGGAAGAAAGAGGAGGCTTTCTGCTCCTGTAAAGAGTCACAGTCTCAGAGACCCACAGGGGCAGGTCTGCCCCATCCCATAGCGCTGCTAGGAGCATAACTGACCGATGGCAGTGAGTTTGTTTGGAGTTAGTGTGCATCAGACACGGTAATGACAATAATTATGTGAACAAACGGGCCAGCACTGTTGGACGCATTTGACCGAGGCCTTGCGTGGTGTAAATGGTCAACACGCTCAGCTTCTAAATGAAAGGTTGAAGGTTTATGTCCACCGATGTGCCTCAGAAGAAAGGCCTGGCAACCACTTCTGACAAAGGAGTCGTTGAGAACCCTCAGGGGGTCCAGTTCTACTCTGCCACCCATGGGGTTTACTGTAGGAGTTGAAGCCATAGCAACTGCTTCGTCTTTGCTTTTAAAGCATTTTACACATTTTAATCCGTTTACTCCTCATAAAACCCTTAGTAGTTATGGATTGAAGTACGCTCCCCCCACCCACGCCCCGAATATGTGCTGTAAATCCTAACCCCTATGCCGGTGGTTATAATCCTATTTGGAACTCGGCTGTCTTTGTTAGGTTAGTGAGGCAGAGTTAGCGTAGGGTGTGTCTGGCGTTAATCTCTTTTAAGATACCAAAGTGCTTAAACAAGCAAGGAAAGCAGAGGAGAGAAGAGAGCCGCCAAGTTCCACCCCCATCACCCAGGACCAGAAGCTCGAGAGAGACAAGATCTTCCTCCAGAGCAGATGGAGAAGAAATGTCTTTCCCTAGAACGCACAGCCTTAATCAGACTTCCACCCTCCTAGCCCATGAGAAAATCCACCTGTTTGTTAAAGACCCCACTTCTGGTATGTCCACTACAGTAGCGGGGGACAACCCCAACCTAAACCCACCCGCTGCCAGCTCCTCCACATAGCATTGCTTGTGAGGGTCTCTGAGACTGTAAAGCTTTAGGGGAGCAAAGATCTCATCTTTCTTCCATGCGGTGGCTGGTGGGTTTGAACTGCCAACCTTGTGTGAACAGCCCACACCTCGCCCATAACACCACCAGAGCTCCTTGGATAACCAAAGCCAACTGAAACCAAACTCATTGCCATCAAGTCGATGCTGACTCAGAGCAATCCTATAGGACAGGGTAGAATGGGCTCTGACTTTCCAAGATGGTAACTCTTTACCGGAGTAGAAAGCCCCATCTTCCTCCAGCGGAGCGGCTGGGGGCTTAGAACTCTTGACGTTGTGGATCACAGCCAAACTTGACTTTGTACTTGAAAAACTATAATCAAGGGGGGAAACATTAACATAGCAGGAAAGTTTGAGGTTGTCATCAGTCACTCAACCTCAATGACTTTGGGGAAGCATATCTCACTCCCGGTGTCCACAATCTGACTGGGCAGAGAAGATGCCAACAGGGCCCGAATGACCCAGATATGCAAGACCAGTTGAGAAAGGAAGCAGCAAATTCAGCCTCAACCACCTAGATGAGTGATCTTTGAAAACGGCACAGCTTGGGATGGAAAATCAATGCAGTGTTCAGGGTCGTTGCTGGACTCAATTAAAGTGAAACGAAGACAGTTAGTAGGTGGCCTGCTCTTGATCACCTGAACGTGTGGAGGAAGGTGCTACAAAGAATGAAATGAACAGTTAGGGACATAGGACTCTGGCATTTGAATTGAAGGCTCTGAGAACTCAAAAGGGTGAGAAGCCTCCAGTCAATGGATAAGAATGGAATTGGAATGCAGGTCACAGCCCTCGTTCTGGGATGAGTGCGTGAAACAGACCGGGGTCGAGGCAGTGTTGAGGCTGCAGTCTCATTGCAGCCAGACAGGGTTCATGTCTACCAAACACAGTTCAAGCAATGGTTTCAATGTACTGACCTTGGTTCTCGCCACTCACTCTCCACCCCTTGAAATCTTTCCTTTACCCCACTGCTTCGGAGCATTATCTGTGACCTCCTGGCCATCTCTGTGCCCCTAATGCCTAGCCAAGGGACGGCAGAAAGGAATGAAATATGTGCGGAAGGGAATCGACCTAGTTTTATGATCAGAGCAATGAGATAATAATGATGAGAATGACAATCAGGATACCTAAACTGTCTTATTTAATCCCTGAAGCAACATGCTGAGAGACATCCTGTCAGTACACCGAAGCTACTTGCCGGTGAAAGCTTCAAAGAGACTATGCTGTCTTGACGAAGTAGGAGGTGTCACACACGCATTAGGAACTTGCCGTTGGAGGACCACCACTACCTGTCACTGAAGAAAGCAAAGCAAGGCCCACCCCAGCTCTCTGACTTCTTGCTCCCGTCATGCAATGTAAAGTCCCCCAAGTGGTTGTTCACGCAGCTGATTGCCAGCTGGTGACGGACGTGCCAAGCACTCCCCTTGAGATGCTCGGAGTTGAAGCCATCGTTGGTTTTCTCTGACCATATCTCCGTACTGCAGGCTGCGCTCTTACACCTGGCGGCCGCTGGACCCTCTTCTGGGCTTGCAGACGCAGTTCCCAGGAGGAAGGCACCCCGTGTCTCTGAGGTGACACTCAGTAACCTGTACACCACCAGGGGAACTTCATGTAGAACCCATGGGCCATACGGAAGCCAGGCCATCTGAAACCTACCCTCCAAATCTGACGGAAATCCATCCAGTCCTTTGCAAGGATGTGGTAACAAGCTATTGTATTTATGTTGATGACCATAAATCGGCTTTCTGTGGAACACACAGGTTGATAAGAGGCTGACCCTAGCCATAAATGAAATCTTGAAAGGTCAAAATTGGGCTATGAGGCCCATGAGCTAAGCACTTTGCTGAAACCTAGAGGAAATGAATGTTATGCCGGGGAGGTACCTACTGACTCTCCCCATCATCCCCTCTTCCTCCGTCCTCCAGGTGGGAGGGAGCACTCACCCGCACACCTCTTCCCGTCCTCCGCCAGGGTGTAGCCGCTGTAGCACTGGCAGACGAAGGAGCCTGGCACATTGACGCAGAGCTGCTCGCAGGCGTGGTCCTCCACCGCACACAGATCCTGGACTGAGGCAAGGGTGGCACCGTAAGCACACAGCCCAGAAGAAGATGGCGCCCGCAGTGCCAAACCCCAAACCATGCCCACTGCCACCGGGGCGACATCACCTCATGGTGACCCTGTAGGACTGCCCCGTAAGGGTTTCTGAAGCTGTAACTTTTTACCAGAGTAGAGAGTCTTATTGTGCTCCCTCAGAGCAGCTGGTGACTTTGAACCGCTGACTGTTCAGTGAGCAGCCCATTGAGCTACCAAGGGTCCTCCAGCAACGGAGCCCAAACAGCTCACCAAACGCACCGTCATTGACTCAATTCCGACACACAGCGGGGAAAGCTGCCCCTGTGGGTCTGCAGGACTACATCCTTCTGGGAGGAGAAAGCTTCAATCTCTCAGAGTCAATGCATAATCCACGATGCCACCAGGACTCCGGACGCGCCTCTACAGTATTTACTGAAATGATTCTGACATTCATAATTGCCAAAAGCTGGGTGGGAACAAACCAAATGCCCATCAACGGATGGACGGATAAACAAAAACGGCCTCTCCATAAATGAGGTGCTGTAGCCTTGGCTCTGACTCATGGAAGCCTTATGTGTGATCAGAGTAGTGCACCATGGGGCTTTCAGTGGCTGGTTTTTCACAAGTAGATCGATGGGACTTTCTTGCAAGGTGCCTCTGGGGGGCCTCAAACCAGCAACCTCTGGTTAGCAGCCAAGTGTGTTTAACTGTTGGCACCACTCAGCGTTCATACAATTACTGAATTATAGAGGGAAATGGGAGTTCTGATACATGCTAGAGAGGGGAATGAACCTGGAAAACATCATATGAAGTGCAATCATCCAGGCATAAAAGAGAAATATCGTCTTATTCCACTCACAGGAGATAGCTAGAGCAGGCTAATGCATAGAGTCAGAAAGTGGTTACCAGGAGCTGGGGGAAGAGTGGACAGGAGAATTATTGATTAAGGAGTACTGTTTGGGGTGATAAAAACTTTTGGAAGTAGAAGTGGTGATGACATAGTGGTTACACATTGGGCTGCTAACCACAAGGTCTACAGTTTGAAACCACCAGCCGCTCCTCAGGAGAAAGACAGGGCTTCTACTCCCATAAAAACTGACAGTCTCCGAGACTCACAGGGACAGTTCTGTCCTGTTCTATAGGGTCATTATGAGTCAGTATTGACTTGGCAGTTAGAGTTAATATAATTAATGCCACTGAATGTACACTTAAAGATGGTTTAAATGGCAAATTTTATTATGTATATATTTGTCACCATTTAAAAAAAAAAGTAAAAATCACTCTTGAAAAACATTGTAAGTATCAATATATGACCATACTAGAAAACAGGAAGCAGAGAAATACAAATACAACAATACCAAATCTACCACACATCAAATACAGAAATACAAAACAACAATACCAAATCTACCACACATCAGTAAGCCCTCACCCCACCCAGAGGTAACCACTGCGCTCATCTGGGCGAGCTTTCCTTCTAGATGAGTGTCTGTGTAGACACAAAAACCATAGTTTTCAAATTCAGAACTATTCACGTCTAGTAAATACAGTCAATACTTGTCAATCAACATTGGTTTGTATTTTCCCGTGTCCAAGAACGTCCACTGGCATTCTTAGGCTGGTTGCTGAGAACAGTAAATGATCCTGAACAGGCAGTGGGCCCTGTCTGCATGAGGACCCTGCCTGTCCTTGGGGAACACAGAGTGCCCCACGATGGCACTCTCACTGACGCACATGGAGACAATCTGGGCTGGCTTTGACAGGTTTCAGATGAGGAAGCTGAAGGAGAACGCAGTTAAAAGACCCCAAATTCCACCAGAGTCACGGCAGGTTAACGGCGTGCGCCTAATTCTACTGCCTGCAGCGCTCTCTTCAGACGTTCTCCTCAGTCATCTACCTACCAGAGGGTCTTTGAAAATCCTCCTTGCTCTCTGGTCATTCTTCTCAATAATAAATGGGGAGACAGAGGAGCCCATGGAGGCTCGGTGATGAGGATTACTGCCCACCCACAGAGGGCTGAGCCTGGCCATTTACTCCAGGCAACACAGGAATGTACCCCTCCCATGCAGAGGATGAAAACTGAGAGGCATTTTCAATCGATTACTGAGTTGGTCCTTGCATAAGGATGTGGTGAGGCTGTTTATCACCCCGGAAACTTGCCGGGCCGGATCCTGTGGACAAGCCCTGGTCCTCCAAGAACTTTTACCTGTAACATGGCAGAACATCAGACAGCATTCAACTGGTCAACTATATTCAACCCAAACTCACTGCCATCGAGTCCATGCCAACTCACAGTGACCCTATAGGACAGAGTAGATCTGCCCTGAGAATTTCTGAGACTGAAACTCTTTATGGGAGTAGAAAACCCTATCTTTCTCCTGTGGCAGGGCTAGTGGTTTTGAACTATGAACCTTACCGTTGGTTAGCAGCCCCACATGTAACCACTACACCAAATGAGCTCCTTCAGAGCATTTTCTGAGATGAAAAGCGTTCACTCTGACAGTTGTGCTAAATACATAATTAACATGAATGCTGGCTGAAGGCTGAATCCCTGGATACAATGACTAAATTGAATCACATAGATCTTTGGGTGTCACAGCTGGTTGCGTTCTTTTAAAAATATAAATAAAACATAGCATTATAAGAAGTTATATAAATATAGCATCATATAAATAGCATCTTATAGAGCTATATAAATATATCAGTAGAAGAAGGTAAAAGTTAATCTCACTCAGTACTTCCTTAATGAGTATTAAGCTATCTTAAAATAGTATTAAATGAGTATTAATAGTATTAAATGCGTATCTAACTATTATTTTAAAATAGTCCAAATAGTTATCTAATATAAATCTTTATACTATACTGTTTTTCATAGTTGCTTAGGTTGAAGATTCAACAAATAAGGATTCTGGTTTTAAAATGCTAACAGGAGTTTTATACTCAAATGAGTAAAGTGGATTTTAAAATCAGAGATGCAAATTCCTTTCCCTCTTATAGCATACTTATAGCTTAGATTTCCAACTGATGGTCCCAGTGGATTGAGAAGAAAGAAACATGCCAATAAGCGGAACAACTTTTTTTAAAAACCTACCACTGTCTGACTCAGCGCAACTTCGTTGGGTCGTGGAGCTGCCCGAGAGTCCCCGAGAGATAATCTTTCTGTAAGCACAGCACCACATCTGTGTCCAGCAGAACAGCTGGTGGGTTTGGATCCACATGACCTTGTGGTGAGCAGGGGAGTGCTTTAACCCCTGCACCACTGGCGGGTCCATGGAACAACTTTAGCTGATGCCCCAAACCTTTGTGGACAATTAGGGAATGAGGAAACCGACAGTTAGGTACAAATCCAAGCAGAGAGCTAAGAAACCACTGATGTCTCCTGTAGGACAGGGCAGAACTCTCCCTCCCTGTGGGTTTCTGAGACGGCCCCTCTTTACAGAAGCCGAAAGCCTCATCTTTCTCCCAGGTAATTAGGATATTCATTCCATTACTCAGTAAACCTGTATGGAACTCTGCTACGTCTTAGGGACTGCTGCAGGCCCTGGGGATATGGCCACGAGGAAGCCAAAGGGGTTCCCGCTATTCCAGCTCGCGCATCCTCCGCGGAGTTAGTAATGTGAAGCTCCAGGAAGAGAATTGGTGGCTGAAAGAATGGCACAAAGGCCCGAGGAATGGGCAGGTCAAGTCAGATGCAACTTAAACAACTAAAATTGCTCTTGAAATGAGTTGACCCTGACTCCTGGCAACAGCACGAAGCGTTGCCTGGTCCTGTGACAGCTTCAGGATCATCGGTGTATTTGAGTCCACTATTGGGGTCCTTGGTCATCTGGGAGGCTTCCAGTACTATCTGAGATAAGGTTCTCATGCCCTCCAGCATCATGGCCACAAGCACGCCATCCACCTCAACATGACAAACACAATTCAGTGGTGGAAACCACTAAAACAGGTCAGAAATGATGACCCCAGAGAGGGATGGTGATAATAATGGGGGAAGTTCAGCATGGGCCCCAGTGGCCAGTAGGCAAGAGTGGCTGGGGACAGGTCACAGATAAGACACACCTACAGAAAAGGGAAGGGCATTCAGACTGAGGAAGCAGGGAGTAATGCAGATGCAGGAGGCATAGACGTCCTCTCTCCAGGATTTCTAAGGGAAGAAGCAGGGCAGATGCCCACAAACCCTTGGACGCCATTATACCCTCACGATAATGTCCTCCCTCATCCGGATGATGGGTCTCTTTGTCTCGTCTTTTCCAGTATAAGACATAATAAATGTTCTCCTTAGATTACATTTGAGAGGTGGGGGTCTCCTCTGTACCTTGAAGCGCTTGATGACAGTGTATGCTGTGTGTGCCCACTTCATGATGGTTGCCACGCATGAATCCATTATCGTAGCTACGACGTCGATCCATCCCATCGGTGGTTTCCCTCCTGTTGTCGGACCCTCTGCTTTACCCAACATGCTGTCTTCCTCCAGTGCTAAGTCTTTCTTGATGCTACATCCAAACCAAGCAAGACCAAGCCTCCCTGCCTTCACTTCTAGGGAGCATTCTGGCTGTGTTCTTCTAAGACCGATTCATTTGTTCTCGCGGAAGTCCATAGTATATGCAACAGTCTTCACCAGTGCCACAATTCAAACACAGGGGCTGCAGAGGGAGGCAAGAGACAGAATGGCTCTTCTGCCCAGCCCTGAGCGGGGACACCAGCAGCCGTCAGGTTGTGGCCCCATCAAAAGAACCTGAGGCCCAGGTTCTGCCCCTCCAACTCCTGCAACCCAAGTGCCATCAAACCAGACTGTTGGTGAAAGCTCTCTAGATGACTCCAGCAGGCAGCCAGGCTCGACAATCACAGAACTCAATGGGATAAAATGTCCTCACAGTCCCCCAAAGGCAAGATACCCAGTCCCAGAGGTCAACCTCCCCCTGCATAACTGATAAGTTCCCATACAGCTCTGAGCGAATGCTGCCCCGACACTACAGGAGGGTGCAGAGCATGG